GTAATCCATGTCACTTCAGCCATTTTTCTACAGATGGACATTGTGTTGTTAGTCAAATCATTTACTATTTGAAATGAACATCCTCACACGTAATTCCTCATCTAGACTGATTACATCCACAGGTTAGACTCCTGTAAGTGGAATCAATCAAAAGATAGAAAACTTCAAAACTTTTGATGCATAAGGCTTTTAATGTCCTTTCTGGTAAGTCTGTGCCAAATTACACTTCCACTAGCCACATATAAGATGGAGAAATGGTGCCAATTATTTTCTGCCTATTTTTTAAAATCTTTTATCCTTTTCTTCCTTACTGAATAGAACTTTTAGTAAAAGAAAAATTTAGAAGTCTCTTATGGAGGCAGTAGTATATTTGGAGTCTTAAAATTCCAGGAAAAGTAGTGATTAACCATGTGGTAAAAAGTTAGTATTTCTATTACAGTAACTTCCACTCTTAGGAAAACTGTAAAGATTCATATTTAGAAGGAAAAATAAACTGTTCAGTATCTCTAGGATTGTGATTTAAGTACAGCAGCAATTTAAAGAAAAAACCAACTATTAAAAAATTCTATCAAAGAGAAATTAGCAAAAAAAACCTGAGCAATCTACAATTTCATTACTAAATTTGTATAATTTTGCTGAATTGACGAATTCTGAACAAGATTATTGTATGGAACTAATAAGGCAGGTTGTAGAAACAACACAAACTTATTTGGCAAAACTGTTTCTTAATGTATATAACATTTAAAAATAATTCAACCAAATATAACTACTAAAATATGCTACAAATAATTATTAAATCATGAAATTGGGCTCTTTTTCAAGTATCGTATACGTCCTTAAAAGGGTGACTTTTTAAAAACGTTATTTGTAAATCTAAGTTTCTGTTTCAAAAAAAAATTTTTTCTCTGTTTACTTCAAGTTATTTCTCTATTTAAAAAAAAACAGAAATCACATAGAATGAGCATTTTAAAATACTAATTTCTTTAGTAGATGAATGGATACACTGTGGTATATCCAGAGAATGAAATACTATTCAGCACTAAAAAGAAATGAGCAGGGAGGGCATAGCTCAGTGCTAGAGCACATGCTTAGCAGTCACGAGGTCCTGGGTTCAATCCTCAGCACCTCCACTACCACCACCACCACCACCACCAAAAGAGCTATCAAGCCATGAAAAGACATGAAGGAGTCTTGAATGCATATTATTTGATTTAAAAAAGCCAATCTAAAAAGGTTACATACTGTATGAGTCTAACTATATGACATTCTGGAAAGGGCAAAACTATGGAGACAGTAAAAAGATCAGTGGTTGCCAGGGGTTAGTATGGAAGGAAGGATGAATAGATGGAACAGAAGATTTTTAGGGCAATAAAACTATTCTGTGCAATACTATAATGGTGGATACATGCCATTATACATTTGTCAAAACCCACAGAAAGCACATCACCAAGACTGCACTCTACTGTAAACTATGGACCCTGGGTGATGATGGTGCCAATGTCAGGTGTCAGCTGTAACAAACAGACCACTCTGGTGCAGGATGCTGAATGTGGGGAAGCCTGTGGGGAAGGGGACAACAGGTATGGATTCTCTGTACTTTCCTCTCAATTTTGCTATGAACTTAAAACTGCTCTAAAAAAAATTAAGCTATTAAAATTTTTTTTAAACATTGATTATTTTTAAATCACTGCAGTAATTAATGTCTTTGGTAAATGTTTAAAGAATATTTTAGAAATATGTATATGACTTATTACCTATATATAAAATCCACTTAAAAATGCCATTCCTTTTCAGAAAGTGTTCAAGCTTCAATTTCCTCTATTCTTTTGGCTTTGAACTCACTCATAAACACACAAGGAACTCACCAGGTACCTGACCTGATGTCAAAATTCATAAGCCAAATCTCTCTCACTGCCATAAAGTCTGTCAGCAGTAAGTAAAACTAGTTATGTACGCTATGTAATCACAAAATTCATCGTGTTAAACATTAACAGACACTGATGGAGACTGAGAACTAAAGTTAAGCTCAGAATCAAGCTGGTTTTCATATCAGATTTGATACAAGCCACCTGAGAATGAAAAGTACAGTAAGACTCTCCAGGAAAGGAGGTGACAGCCCACCCCCCTCCTTTTTGTTTTTTAAGGAAAATCACTTTTGCTTTATGGCTTTTTGAACTATGAATTCATCTAGTATCTAGACTCCTTCCCACCTCATTCTTTCTGCCTACCTTCTGAAATTTTTTTATCACCAAAGAATAAAAGGGAGGAAAGTAGGATGAAATATAAACCATTAATCTAATTCTTACTGATCAATCTCATAAGAGTTTTGTTATCTGATTGATTTCTATACTTTTTTTCTGAGGAAAAGGAATATAAGATCTGAGTGAAAAAGTAGGAACTACAGTCTAATACTGGGTTTGTATGTATTTGTGAAGGTAGTTTGTTTATGTTCTGGCAGCCTCCTGTGCATGCAACATACACGCTTAAGTGACAAAATAATTTCCTTTCTTTGAATTAATTACCTAAATATGATGTGGAAGGAAAAATATAATTTTCTGATTAGGTGCATTTTTTACCACCAATTTCATTTGCTAAAGTATTTCTGTCACTGTCAAACGCTTGGTAAAGACCACAAAAGAAATACTATGAATAAACTCCATCAGCACCACTGACAGCAGCATAGATAGGTTTTAGTGACAATTTTCACGCAATTTAACAGTCAATGGCTCGAGGTGTAACTTGCACTGGCTGCACTTAGTAATGTAAAATCACTGCAGAAATTAAGAAGCAACAATGCCAGTAGCAACAATTCTCACCAAAGCCAAAGCAATCAATGAACTTTGAAATAAACTACATAAACACTATTTCCCATATGGCATACTTTTTTCTGAGATTCAGGATGCTTCCCCAAATGTGGTAGGAGGTAACCCTTCTTCCTTTGTATAACATGACTTAACCTACCTACCTTATGTAGTGTTTTTTGCCTACATTTTCAATATAATTCAGGAAAACAAAAGTACCTAAACTTGCAATATTTTCTCTTAAGTACGGTAGGAAAAACTTGAGAAATAATTCTGAAAATTACCACATAAAAATGATAAACATTGTACTAATACGTGAACTTGTGCTTGATCATTATGAATTATTACGTACATTTAGCTACAATACAGAGTAAGTGTGAATTACTTCTGTGTATTTTGCTTTTCAAATTCCCGAAGCTGAAAGACAGACCCAGACGGAGGAACACACTAGCTGCTAGGAAGGACGCTGCCGTCCTCTCAGCCACGAGCCCCAGCACCACAAGCACAGCCCAAGGAACAGGTGCGGACCATCCCTCTCAGTCCCGTCAGCAATGGCCGGCTGAGCGTGCAGGCTATTTTCCCACACTCCTTCGCTCCAGAAAGCAGACAGGATGTCTTGGACAAAAACCAGCACTCAGTGGTGAGGTGAGGAACCACCTGATGCCTCATTGCTTCCCTGCCCCCCAATCCCTGTCTTTAACCTCACGGTGACGACAAGCTGTGTAACTTCATTTTACCTCTAATTTTTCACCTAGTTCCCTTAAAGGCATTTTCTCTCATCTAAACATAGCCCCTAATGTGTCCCTGGTACTACTCCCTTTAATTCCTGCCCCATCTCTCCTTCCTCTTTATCCACTGAGTCAAAAGTTTACCCCAACCATGAGTAAGTAGAAATTAGCCAATTGTCTGCACAGACAGGGGGGAGAGCTGTGAAAAGGGAAGGGAGGACAGAAGAATGAGAACTGAAAATCAGGGTACCTGAGTCCTAGTCTGACACTCACTAAGCTTGTGACTATCACTTAATTTGACTCTAGTTCAATCTCATTTCCTCTTCTGAAAAATGAAGGGGTCAGAAAATTTCAGTGATTTCCAAACTTTCTGAGTGCCTTGGGGCTGCCAAGTGGGCCAAGGAGAATGAGCTGACTGAAAGGAGGAAGAAAATTCCCATCTTTATTCAGCTTATGTATTATGGTTCTACAAAAAATTTCATTTGGAAAAAAAACAAAAAATAGTTTAGAAATGGATTAAATGACTTTCAAGGGCTCTTTAGATCTAAAATTCTATTATAGCAGATCTACTTCCCAAATAAAATTTTAAAAGAAGTGCTCTTGATTATAGATTTCTTCTGATTTAACATTTATATATTTTCAAAACTGCTTGATTGGTATTTAATCTATTATTTTAAATTACCTGGAAGAACATAAGACCATGAAGTTCCACTATCAAACCAGATGTCCAAAATATCTTGACCTGGCACGTATTCCAAAGCATCAGGACCACCAACCTAATAAGACAATGTAAAACCATTCTGATTACATGAAGATCACATTATTTACAATACCTAAAAAAGTCTTGAGAAAATGAAATATTTATAATCATTAAATTCACATTTTTAAGTGAAATTTAAGATGTTTTAAGATATTTTACAATTAAGTACAACTGTGTCATTTGTGTGTAAAAGTCACTGTGGCCACTTAATTGCACATTTACTAACATAAATATAAACTATTTTTATCTTCTTATCTTCCAATTTGGATTTTTTGACGTGTGATGCCATCAGGTAAATAATTCATGTCCTACAAAGTCCTGATGCACTCATGTTAGGCACTGTTTTCAGTCACAGTTACATCTGCTGAGCCAAACGAATCAGCTAAGATCAATCTTGGCCCTCAGTGAGGTAACAAATAACCCTCACTCTACCGCCATACTAAATACCAGGTTTCTTCAGCTGAACAGAAAGGTCTGTTCTCTAACTGCACTGGCCCCTAATTTATAGTGAGTAAACTCGTGAACTTTACGTGATAATACAACTACCTTTTAATTCCCAGGAATCTCTCGTGTTGTCATTAAATCATGCAGTGTATAATTTAACAAAGGCTGTTAAATACAAATGGAAATTTACCTGAGATAAGACTTCTTCTGGAAGAAGTTGTGCAGGAGGAAGAGTCCACCAGATATCACTGCCATGCTGTTCCACCAGTTTAGTAATATGCTCAATGGTTTGGCTATTTTAGAGACAAGGCACAACTGTTCAATTAATTATTTTGATTAATATTGAACATTTTAAAGAAATAGTGGTATTTTTCCCAATATGCAGGGTATTTTTTTCCTATCTTTTCCGCTAAACTTTAGTGGTATTATCTTCAGTTACTTGCTTGCTTAGCTCCTGCTGTCGTCTTAAATTCAATATAAATAAAATCAAATTGATCATATGTAGCCCTTAAAGAGAAAAAAAGGACTTCTTCTGATACCTCTATTTCAGTTACTGACTTCCCCCTTTCTATCAATTTTCTATGCAAGTACCTATATCCTAATTATTGACTTCTTCCAAATTCTGCTCAAATTAAGCCAATACATTCCATTCATTCTACCTTTGACATATTACTCAAATTTGTTTCTTGTTCTGATAACTATTAGTCCAACCTGACTGCCTCAATGCTGGATTGATGCAATGGTCTGACTTTTCCCCTGCTCTCATTCCTTCACATGACACGTGTAATTTAATTGATATGACACACCTTTGACAGGGTTGCATTCCTAAAACTGCTTCTATCACACCAATCCCCTCTCAGAAATTTCCAGTGACCCCCTCAGTGCTCACAGAACTCAGTCCAAACACATCTGCTTAAGAGGCAACGCCTTATCAGAGCATTTTGGTAACAGATATCCAGGCTTGTATCTTGACTCTGCTGCTATTTATACACATGACCAGACGCAAGTACTAAAATTTCTCTAAGTCTTGGTTGTCCCTTCTGTTAAGGAGAACAGTACAATTTATCTGCTCAAAAATATTTACTGAGAATCTCCCGTGTCTTGGACACCTTTCTAGGCACTGGAGATACTGCAGTTAAACAAGGCGGGTAAGATTCCCACCTTAGTGGAACTTACATTTTAGTGATTTTAGTGATCCTAGATACTTCCCTCAGAACGACTGCAAACTAGATGAGAATCATCCAGGAAAACTTAACGCATGCTTAATACACAACAGAAAGCCAACAAACGCGTAGCAAATGAATCCTGAAACTGATCATGTCTTTGGGAAGACAAAGATAAAGTTTTTTATACTAGTTTCTCACAGGAGTAACATGCTTTTAATTTATTATCACAGCTTTATTGACATTACAACTTCCCCTAGCTGTTTTCCACTGAGTCACACAATATCCTGGTCAAGAACATGGATCCTAGAGCCAGACAGATTTCGCTTAATTCCTGCGTCTGTCACTTACTAGCTAGGCAACCCCTGGGCAAAGTACTCAACATTTCTGCATCTTAGTTTGCAAAATACAAATGGTAACAGCATCGTTAAGAGAGTTACTATGGGTATTAAGCTTGTATATAAAATGCCTAGAACGATGTTTGGCACATATTAATAGGTATTATGTTAAGTGTTAGCTACTATTAAAACTGATTCTTTGAAGTCGGGTAAATTTAAACAGTTAAATTCTGTTAACTGATTACCAAAACACATATCCCTATCAATATTTAAAGATTAAAATACATATACTAAAGCCAACTTTTAGATTATCCTCCTTTCTATCCCACTCCATTAATGCCAGGAACTAAGGGTGTATGTAGGTCTATGAGAGTTGATGGGAATGGAAGGAGTACATAGGAAAAGCTTTATGTCCTTAATCTGGATCTGCTTCTTACTAATCATGACTCTGCAGGGCAAATCATTTACCCTCTCAGGGTCTGATAATTCACACGTAAAATGAAGTGTTTATGAAAAACCGGGAAGCAAAAATCAAGTGAGTATTATAAATTAAATATGCTCTACAAATTGAAGTGTGAAATGCCTAAGTCGGTTATACTACAAAGGGATAGACTGAAAAAGTATAATGTTACCACCATCTACTTTGAAGAAATTATAAATAATAAGAATGTTTAAATGGGCACAAATCCATATTTCTAATACAGGCACACATTTCAGATGGACTTTAACAGTAAAGATAAACTTTTGCAATGAGACCATAAAAACTTTGTGCAATAACTAACTAGTTACATGACAAGATTTAGTTACATATTACTACTTTATATAGTTCACACAGAACATTTTACCAGTTAAGAAAATATGAATATGCTACAATAGAAAATCTGAATAAACCTAATGCTATTACTTTAAAAGAACAAGAAAAGGGACAAAGCAAAGTACACTTACACACACACATCATACTGATTATGAAATTTTCATTAAGAAAAATTCTAAATATGAGCATCATTTTGCCTTTCTGTTTTTACACGTTATCCTTAAATTGCAATTTTAGATAAATGGTAAAATAAAACAGTGATTTAAATGTGTTGGAAATAAACATAAAAAATAGTACAAAGATAAAAGAAAATGGTTTAAATTCCATATCAATTTAGAAAATAAGGTAGAGATGTTAGATTAATATCATTATTAATGAAAATAAAAACATTTATATGTATATCACACATTATACTTTTAAAAGCACTTTATAAGCTCTAACTGGATTCACAGAAAAACATATTTAGTAGCTAAACTGACAGATAAACTGTTCTCGATGTTCCTTAAACCATGTGCCTGAGCAAGTAACACAATTAAAAGTCAGGCCTTGAAACTATGTCTTTCAAATCATGGCTCAGTTTTGTTCTCACTTCTCCATTCAGCCTTTCTAACTCATTTATGAAGACAAACACTGTACCTGTGAACTCATACCCCTCCCTCTCTGGGGTTTGCTAAGCAAAGGCAAATAGACTTACTACCCATGCATAAAGAAAGCGTGAACCAGAGATGAAGCCAGGGCAGCAGGGAGTCTCAGATTAGCGTGTTGACAGAGCAAGCATCAAGTCCAAAGACCAGAGTCCGCCTGCAACTTATTAGATACTGACAGAAATACATCACATTATTTTTCTGTGCTTCAGTTTCTACGAACACTGGGAAAAGCCAGGGGAAAGAAGGCTATGTGAAAAATTGTATTCTTAAAAAAGTCCTAATATTCTAGTCAGTAACCTCACACCTGTAGATGATACTTACTTATTCATTTCAGAACGTCTAATTCAATGCTAATGAAACTAAGTTCTTTTTTATACCCCTAAATAGCAGATAATTCAGTGGAGTTTTAGAATTATACTTAATACTCAAGTACCTTAAAGAGTCTATAATTAAAAATACCAAATAGTAAAAGAAGATTCCAATTTTGCAGCTGGCATGTTATTATTAACTGTAAAATCCCAGCAAGTTTCGTCAACCACCTCCAGTCTAACCAAAACTGAAGTTTTAATTAATACATTTTCTTTTAAGGATATTGCTAATATTCACTTACACAATATAATACTTCCATACAAGAATAAATTTAATCTTGTATTATGTAAATCTTATTTGCAAATATACTTTTAACTCACAAAAATCTCTTATTTCAGTGAGGAGGAAACTTTGGTTTTGTTTTTTAGTTTACCTAATAATACTTATTAAAAATGACATAACCACGCCATGTCATCTATACCAATGAAAACAATCCTGCAGTAGTTTTTTAAAACTCTAATTTCAAAAAAGCTGTTATAAATAACACTACACACTACTCACACTACTAAGAAAATGATTCAGTACTTTGGGGTCCCTCCTAACATATGCAGATGAGACTGGCACATATTAATAGGTATTACGTTAAGTGTTAGCTATTAGTAAAACTAATTCTTTGAAGTCATGTTTTTTTTTTCCAGTGTATCCAAAAGAAATATGAAACATTTTAAAGAAGGGAGAGAAGCTCTGCTTCATTAATAGATCAAGTCCCACTAACATTTAGAGCAAGACTTGCCTCCTTACTTCTTACTGTGAAATATAAAAACCTGATGCACTGAATGTCCTTTAATGGGCATTACCTTCTGTGATTTGGCTCCACTTTGAATTCTTAGACTACTACATTACTTAAATTTTTAAAAACAGGAAAATAAAGACAACTTGAGTTACAGTATAAAAACTGAACACAATTTATGACAAATAAGAATGCAGATTCCAGAGACAAGAACATTCTCACAGTCCAAACAAATCAAAATCTAAGTGCACAGAACTGGTATCACTAAGTGAAAACTTTCTCCTGACTTGTACTCTGGTTGTCTGAATGATCCTAAAAAAACTGTGGCAGTTTTAAAAACAACATTTGCAATAAAAATAAACAAATGCATACAACCTATAAACTTGAGGTAACCATAGTGGATTAGAAAATAAAGATAAATGTAATGTTCAAAAAAATTTGAAAAGATAATTTGGATTAAAAAAAATACAAGTAAATGTGGCATAAGTGCTCAAAAAAAACACTATTATAGCCCTACGGCAAAAATTTAGAAACATCAAATGCTGGGAGGGGCTACATTTACTTGATCTTCACACAGAGGGTACTAGGCAACCATTAAGAGCTAAGCTACCATTTTTAATGGCTACCTATTCATCTTTCCAAAAATTGACTTATTTTATTCTCCATATCATAACTTTTTATAAATGATTGTATTAGACATCCTTACATATATATCTTTGTACAAGAGATGTTAAGTCTTCTTGTTTCCTTAGGATAAATACTTCAAAGTGTAATTTTTTACAACGAAATTGAGATTGTGCTTTAAATTTTTAAAAAATCTTATAGGCCTTTCTTAGTGATACTAAACATTCTCCTAGAAAAAATATTAGTAGTCAGAATCTGTCTTCTGAAATTTAAGAGTTCTTTCTTTTTTAATAACATCCTCTACTAACACAAACAGGCAGTTAACTTACAACCTAAAGATCAGTATAAATTACTGCTGATAAAAGTGGGTGAAACCACTTATCACTGCCTAATCTCTATGCTTCCATCTTAATGCTGTATTTCATAAAGCAGTAAGTCCATCATAAAACTTTGTACTTTACACAGGGCCTTATCTAAACACATGCATTATGTGCCCCTTCTTAGGTTTCAATCCGTGAAAACCCACTAGGAACTATGAGCCACTATTAACACCAACCAATCATTCTGAACTTTGACATCAACTGGGCCGAAGCGTATTTAGCGTGTTATTGGAAATTAAAACAGCACTGAGATTACCAGGTAATGAAGAAACTGTTGCTGTCATTTCAGTTTCCCGTGTTTTGTCTTTATAAAAGCAAAAATGTTAAGGACTACAACATACCTTTCCTCTAGAAGTTACTGGAATAAGAATGAGGTAAGAGGCTAAATGTTTCATATTTATTTACTAAGTTTAATTCTAGAACACAATGAAATATTGGGGGGGAAAAATCTATTTTTAATTTAATCCTATACTTAAGTTTCAAAGATGACAAGAAACAATTTTGGAGAAATTTTTATTTAATGAACATTATCAAACTTTTTCACCAAAAAGTCATTCTTTATTAACATGAGCAAAAATTTGAGGTAGCAAAAGCTAACATACAAACTTGAAATTCTTTGCCTGTTTCCAGGGAATTTCTCATAATTTCTAGAAATCAGGGGCTAAGTGTCTAAATGTATGTTAAGTATTGCATTAATACTAAGTTGATTAAATCATTTGAAATGAAAGAAATTTAACTATGTCTCTTCCTTCCTAGGTAGCAAATGTTTCTAACTTTTATTTTTTTTATGCTAAAACATTTCTCTTTATCAATTAGGAATAGATTTCCACTAAACTATAATGGAATTATATTAGATTCAGAAAAAGTGATCAATGATATTAAAGTCAGAAATGGAATTATTTCCTGAAAAAAATACAAATGAGTATAAAGAGCAAATGAAAACATTAATTCAAATCAAAATTAAACATCAGAACCTCAAATCTATCAGTCTCTCAACCTATTTAGAACATAATAAATCAAGACTTTCTTCTGTGAAACAAGTACACTTAAGAGATAATTTATAGACTTTCACCAAGAAAAGCAGAAGGAAACTTCTAATATGCCCAATGGAGTTACCAAGTGTAACAGCAACTCCATGTGGACTGTGTACCAATTTCCAGTGGAGATGCTGTTACTTTTGATGGCTACCAACCCACAACAATGTAAAGGCATATCCAAGAAAGACAAAAAAATCATGGTCCCTTGATTCTCATTTGATTAAGGATAGGAAAAAAATAACCTTTCATGCAGTCTTTAAAAACTGACAAATAATTAAAATTAACATCCACTTCCTTAAATCAACTGATAGGTCACATTAAGGACCCAACAATGGAAGAGGATTAGAGTCATTACTGAGAAATGGTGTACAGGAGAATGACCTATGAATTGACAGACAATATGGCTAAGTTTGTCTGTCATTTCTGTAGGCCAATATTCTGTATATCTCTGCTACTTCGAAATCAAAAAGCAGCTAATACCGTGCAAGTAACACAATGGTAGAAACGCAGAAGAGAAGCTGTAACACACCATGTAAATGTATCAGCTGTAAATAAAGCATAAATAATACCTAATGAAAATTATTTGCCTATGTTTTTCTGAAATGCTCACACTTATTTCACCTAAGTCACTGACAAATCGACCTACGTACCACTTTATTATACTGAATCATGGTCAAATAACGCCGTTTGCTCTGCTTACTAACATACACCCGTGGCCCACTTCACCCACCTCAAGGAACCGCCCTAAAACTCCTGCTGTCTAAACACAGAGAAGAATGAGGAATGGCGGCAGCAGTTTATAAACAGTTCCTTAAAAGAAAACTCTCCAGGATGGAATTTTAAACAATACCTGTGTAAATTTATCTCAACTTTAATTCTTAATGGGGGTAGTAAGATACTAGTTTTTACATGATCAAGCTCTAAATTGTAAGAACAACATAAGCAACAATATTTAGGCCAAAGAGTCTTAGCTCAGCTCCAAATTGTAATAATATTGAAAGAGCCTTACAATTACTTCCTAGTCTCTAACCTCTAGTTCCTTTCCCTAAAACAGACTCATTCCTCATGCATACTTGAAAGATTAGACTCCCTAGCTTGGTACTCAAGACTTAACTATGATTTGCCCCAATCCCACTTTCTTGGGTGTTTCTCTATCTCCTCACATACCCTGTGGTCACATCATGGCTCCTACACACATGCTATGTTGTCCCCATTCTGGGTCCTCAGCTCCTGATCCCAGCACTTGCAAAATACTTTCCCACATTTCCTATCCAATCCTCAAATCCTTGAGGATACTCAATGCCATATCTTCTGTGAATGACGCCAATGAGCTGTTTTATGATTCAATATTTGTCCAAAGGAGAGCCTACAGTTCTTCCCTCTGAGCCATGCTGCCATAAGGTGTCAGACTACCCATGAAGTCATGATACAACGAATACTTCAAATTGAAAAAGAACCTTCACACCAAGGATACTAAGAACTACCTAACGTGTAGCTATAGGTAACAACAACAACAAAAAAACCACAACACTGTAACCAACAATTTTTTAAAATCCTAAAATATATGTATAAAGTACCACCTAAAAAAATACTGATAATGCAGACAATGAAAAACAGACCCTTTTTACAAAAATTATGATAAATCCCACGGTGGGACATTCAACTCTGTCATCTCCTGAATTCCCCATTACGTGCTAGCCTCCATGCCCTTAAAACCCTCACAGGGTCCTCAACTGATGAAATGTGAGAATATTTACCAAAATGTGCTCAAATTTTTTGCTCATATTATAGCATAACTTAGTAACAATTCCATTAACCAAGTTAAAACAAAATTACTTTAAAAAAAATGAAAACCCAGGATGTATTCCCAAAAGAAATTATTAATATTCCCCTTTCCACTGTTAATAACAGCAACAATACTGAAAGCATCTCTATCTTATTAGAAGATAAACTAGCTAGATTATCTCATTAAGGGCAGGGACCATGTCAGTCTTGCTTACTACCTCAAAAAAGGGTCTAGTGTATGAGTAGGGAAAAAATCTTCTTTTCACTTTATAAGCTTTTCTACTATGAATTGTTTACTAAGTTCAAGTACTATCTTCCCAAATTGAAAAAAAATTATAGAGGAGAAAGAAGAAATACCTAGGAATGGAATCATCACTAGAATTAATTACATGCATTCAACTATATTATAGTTTTTGAAATTTTAAATGATCTACACATTACATAGCACTATTTCTACTGAGAAGGAGAGTAGACTCAGAGTAAGGTACTGACATGGATTCCTAAAGGAAAATTGCATACTGGGCTCCACCACTGAACACTGTTCATCTTGGCTTTGCTGACACCTTACTCTAGGACAGCGCTAGGCACACGGTCAGGAAGAATAAATTCTCACAGAAAAAAAATCAAAGGCTTTGCTTCTAAGTATCAACATTGAAAAAATCTACTGTTTGTTAAAAACTTCAACCATATGAAAGGATCTTCTAGAAATTTATATTTTACTCCCCGACAAAAGATCATTATTTTAGAGTATTTCATTAAACATATATCAGGAGTTCTCAATTGTGTACTATTTTTCCATTTCTGAAGAAAATACAACTCACTTTAAAATGTCAAAAAATTTTAGAAAGAGTTCTACCTGTTGATCAAGATTTCATCTTTTGTCTTATGATGAAACACAGGAATCGGGACACCCCAAACTCTTTGCCTTGATATGCACCAATACGGCCGCCTGTCCATCATTTCAACCATGGCATTCAGTGCTGACCCAGGAATAAATTTCACCTTTTTTAACAATTCCTGCAATTGATTCACAAATCAAGTCCAGTGAGAGAAAGGAGAACAAATTTTCTAGAAGTGTCACTATTTATCCTAATACAGTTCTTGATTTTGGATGTTTATAGTCATTCACATGTCCCCATCCCCAAAAAACAAACTAATCTAAAAAACTACAGATTTCAGAGCAAATGAGGAAAAGTTAAAATGGGGCCACAAAGGACCTAATAAATAGTATTAAGAGCAGACTTTGCCTTTGGAGGATGTGACAAGAAATTTTATACTAATTTCTAAGCACCCTAGATTAAAGCTGGAAATAAGAGGTTTAGTAGAAGTACTGTACTTTATTAAACTACAGTTAAATCGATTTAAACTTGATTTCAATGCATTTTAAAAAATGCTTAAGAAATAAGCTACTATCTTAGGTAGACAAGGATTGCAATATAACCTAATTTTACATAGTATGCTTTACAACATAGAAAACACTTTCTCAAAATAAATTACTATTTACTCTCTCTTCTTCCCTCCACCCCCTTAAAAAAGTTGTAAACTATTAGCATGATTTCATTTGTCAATTACCAAGAGAAGAATCACATAACAAAAATATTTGAAAATAATATCCATAAAAATGAAAACATGGTAACTTCATTTTAAAAAGTCTCTTTATCCATTAATAAAAGCATTTTTATATTTTCAGAGGCGGTTTAAACACTTTCTTCTTACCTGAACTACCATAAATCCCCTCCCCTCAAGCCCTTTGTAGCACCACCTACTGGCAGAACGGCACCATCTGCAATTTTTATTGAAAATCCAAGAAATGTGATACTGACTGGTATTCAGTTTTGTTAAAGAATAACTATTACTGTTTTAAGGTGGTAATAATGGCATTAAAATTAAATTTTAGTGTCTTTATCTGTCACAATTCATGTTTTAATATTTATGGGAAACATAATGCCTAAAACTTGCTATAACATAACCCAGTGGGTAGAAAGTATAGATAATGGGTACAGGGGTAGATAAAAATAATATTGACAGAAAGTTCATTATTGTTGATTGGGTGATGGAAACACTGCAATACATTACTCTGTTCTCTCTATTTCTGCAAGAAGCAACTGAAATTTTTCCATAAAGAAGTTAAAAAAAAAAACCAAACTTGGCTTCAGTATATTAAATCAGACTTAGATGTTCTGCAACCAAAAAATCCGTGCAGAGCTGAAAGATACAAATTATAACACTTCCAGGTAAGAAAAACAGGCTTCATAAAAATGTAAAAAACATAATAAAAAAGCAGTCCAGAGCACAGCCGTCCACTCTACATGAAGGCAGAAAATGTAAATTGCCTGCATAGCTTTGGCAAGGGCCCCAAACTGCCAGGGCAACCAACGAACCAACTAACAATAGTAACGTACTATACAAGCTGTAAAGCGAAGTATCTAAACCCAGCCTGGTGAACAAATGTGTATTTGAGCTCCTTCATTTAATATAATCAAGTTGTTTGTGGTTTTACACACACACATACACATACACAGATACACGTATGTGTTGAATGAAAGTTCAAATGTATATTAATGTTTAAAATGCCAATTCAGAAGGTATTTGTTAACTCAAAGCAGTATCTTTTCAAATGAATTGCAATTTCAATCTTAAGGAAGCAAAGGGTTTTAAAAGAGTTTTGTTGAATGGCTATTATGTGCCACACACTGTTCTGGGAGCTTTTATTCACTTATCTCATGAGGTAGGCATTATTATCACCTTTGTACAGATGAGAAAACTGAGGTTCTGAGAGGTTAAACAACTTGCTAAACTCAAGTACTCATTCTATGCTACTTTTCACTACACTGGGCAGGAAATCTGACACTTAACCTCTTTAAGCCTGATTTTCTACAAGTGTATAAAGAAGGGATGGAAACTCAAGATCCTTCCAGATGGAGAATTCTACAGTTTTATGAAAACAAGTCATAATAACATCAATCCCTTCTACTCCCAGAGCCCTGCCTTGACCTCACATGCAAACCTTTCATACTGAGGGAATGGTAAGCCCAACCCTTACGGTCAGATGTCTTTTATACCTTGGCTGTAGTCTTAATATCCGTGATATTTACAAACCACTGCTTGCTGGCACGAATAACTACTGGTTTCTTAGTCCTCCAGTCATACGGATAGCTGTGTACCAATTTTTCCTCTTTCAACAAATTCTTTGCAGCCTGAAGCATCTTTATAACTTTAAAAACAACAACAACAATTTACATTAGACATAAATAAAAAGTACTATGAAGGATAAGCAACAAGTTCATACTGTGCAGCACAGGGAACTGTATTCAATGTCTCGCAGTAACCCACGGTGATAAAGAGTATGAAAATGAATGTATGCACGTTACTATGTGACTGGGGTATTGTGCTGTACACCAGAAACTGACACAATGTTGTATACTGACTACACTTCAATTAAAAAAAAGAAGAAAATACTCTGTTTCCCATGATAAGGAGAAAATAAGGGAAATTTAAGAAATTTTTTTGGATTTAGAAGACAAAGGAAAACTTCTGTTTCCAAAGAAAAAAGTGCTATGAAAATCCTAATAACTTTAAACTCCCAGGGAATACTAAATCTGGGCCAACAGGTAGCAGTAAGAGTCGTCATCTGATGGGCAGCAAAAGCATAATCTATGAATCTTCAGGCAAAAAAAAAAAAAAAAAAGCAGCAACTGTAAAACCTTAATCATTCTCCAGATATGCTCTTCTTTTCAAAGGAAAGATGACTGAATACATCTAGAATTCTACATCTCAAATTCAGAGTCACAATCTTTCATACTATGAAATTCGAAATGGTCTCCAGGTAATCCAGGAGAAACCAGGGATACTGGGTTGAATGTTGTCCCCAAAAAAGATATGTTCAAGTCCTAACCCCTAGTACCTGTGAGTGTGACTTTATTTGGAAATAGGGTCTTTTCAGGTGCAATTTGCAATTAAGATAAGGTCATACTGGATCAGAGTGGGCCCTAATTCCAATGCCTGGGGTCTTTATTAGAAAAGAGGACACACAGAGAAACACAAGAGCAAAGAAGGACGTATGACACTGGAGGCAGACTGGAGAAATACAGCTATAGGCCAAGGAAAGCCAAGAATTACCAAGAGCCAGCAAAAGCTAGGAAGAGGCAAGGAAAGATTTTTCCATAGAGCTTTCAGAGAGAGCATGATCTGGCCAACACTTCGATTTCAGGCTTCTAGACTCTAGAACTGTGAGAGGGTAAGTTTCTGTTGTTTTAATAAAGCCACTACCTTTATGGTAACTTGTGAGTGTGGCCCCAGAAAAGCAGTACACCAGATCTAACTAGCCTTAGTCTTAGTGTGGGCAAAGAAAGGTTTTCATAGTACCTGGTCCTTGGATTCATGATTACAGGAAGGCAAAAAGACACCTCAACACTGGAGGACCACCAAGACTGTTAATACATAAACTATCCTATGTGGGTCAGTGATTTACAAGGGTTATAAAAGGAGAGAGAGAGTCTGATTCTCAGTAAACATGCAGTCCCAGGGTCGATTTCATCCTTCCACAAAATTCGTACTGCTGATTACCACCTCTACAGTTCTAAAATAATTTCACTCCCTGTTGACTGACCTGATTTGTTTAAACAAAAAGAGCAAATTAAAAGCAAAAGATGAAAAAGTGCCAAACTCCGTTTTAAACCATGCAGCAAAATAAAATATAATTTTAGCTTTTTGTTTCTGTTGAAAGTATAAGATGGGAAAACAGTCAGCAAAGGTTACTGCTGGCTGCTTTTCAGAAAATATATTATTTTAGTATCAGCATATGCAGTACTCACCCACTTCTGTTCCCTCTTCAAGAACAGCCTTGTTTTGAAGTTCAGGACCTGCAGCATCTGTGAAAACTCCATCTTCATTCACCAAACAATCCTACAAAGAGTCATTCTGAACGGTTAGAATAAAGTATCAAGACATTCTGTCTTATGACAATATCTGACAAAACAATATACTATATCAAACATCTCATTAAAGACTAGCCTTTCACTACACTGAAAACTTAGGTACTTTTCATCAGTCAGTAAAAATTTGTAACTTTACACATTTAAATCACCAAAGGTAAAATGTTTTATTAAAGCATATACCTAAAGTTTAATAACAAAAAGTAACAAAATAAACTAAAAACATTTTTAACTTGGTGTCTGTTAATTTACAGATCTATGGCAATGTACATACATTGTAATGACTTTGAGACTTGCTTCCAATTAAATGGAAAACTTAGTAAGTAATTGACATGTGTAAAATAAATTTAGAGAGGATTGTTAGGTAAAAAAACATGATTCTTTTCAACTATTTAGTAAAATCCACTTGCCATTTTTCAGGGACTGAAAGTAGTTTGTCTGTGTGACTTAACACTTAACAAAAAGTGCTCCCATTTACTATGTATTCCAAGTCTGTGCTGATTTTGTGCTAATTCTAGGAAACTGTTCTAAATTACTATGAGGTAATGAGGCTTTGGAGTATTGCACATAAACATATCACAATTATGACAACAAAAATTATTTATTATCAAAATGTAAAGATGTTAGGAATTATCACTTTAATTCGACAAAAGCAAAAGAAAAAAAGACAGAATGAAATAATGCCATTTGCAGCAACATGAATGGAACTAAGTGAAGTAAGACAGAGAAAGACAAATACCATATGATATCACTTATGATACAAATGAACTTATTTACAAAACAAAAACAGACTCACAGACATAGAAAACAAATGTATGGTTACCAAGGGAAAAAGAGGGTAGGAGAGAGATAAATTCAGACTCTGGGATTAATGGATACAAACTACTATATATAAAATAGATAAACAATAAGGTCCTACTGTATAGCACAGGGAACTATATTCAATATCCTGTAATAAACCATAATGGAAAATATGAAAAAGAGATACATATATATAATATATATATATAAAACTGAATCACTTTGCTGTACACCAGAAACTAAAACAACATTATAAATCAACTATACTTCAATAAAAAGTTTAAAAAAAAAAAAGGAAAGAAGAGGAGTAGTACCGTGGACAAGTTGTGTTGAGAAGCCACACTGTAATCTTCCATACCATGAGCTGGAGCTGTGTGAACCAACCCTGTTCCTTTCGTCATGGTCACATGATTGGCAGGTAAAAGAGGAGACCCTCTCTCAGAAATTAAAGGATGAGTACAAGTACCACTTTCCAAGTCTACACCTGTGGGGAAAGAAAATCACAATTAAGAATTATTTTATATGGCAATTCTTCTAACTTTTTAAGAATAACAATAGACATCAGGTGAGAAGTGCAGAATCTGGGATGAGACAGGGCTCAAGCCCTGGCTTCCCCTTTTATTCTGTGACCTTCGGAGATTTATAAAATGTGAGTAATTATGGTTCCTACCCCAGAGGATGGCTGTGAGGATAATCTGAGTTTTTAGAATAGAAAGTAATACACATATTAAGTATTTTAGGCAGTTATTACAGTACTTGCCACACTGTAAATGCTTTAAAATATTAGTAATTATTATAACAAATAGATAATCAAATAAACACAAGAAAATTTCTCTAATTTATGTAGAGTTATGAACCTTTTAGAACAGAGGACAAAAACTATTCTCAATCAATAGACCAATGACTAGTGGGTTTTAATACTATCTCTGTGGGAACTCACTCTTGTTGATTTTCATACTGTTTCCCTAAAAAGGTAAGGGATGGTAAGTAACACCTGACAGTTACTGGGCAACCATCATGTACTGGGCTCGACATAAACTCTTACTTCATCTCCATAATACTCCAAAACAGCTAATATCATCCCCAATTTACAAGACAGAAAGTAAGAAAACGTCAGCAATTTGCCTGAGGTCACAAATAAATGACTGAATCCAACATCAAAGGCCAGTATGAATCTCATGTTCTATGTAACTCTAGTTCCCTTTAATAATACATCACATCCATCATCTGTGAATTTTTCTACACCATTATTGTTTCCCACCTTTACTGCCTCTTGAGTTCCATAAACTGATTTTTCCTTTTTTTTGGTTTTAAAATAACAAGTCTTCAAACTTTAAAATGATTACCTGCTTCTACCCATTCACTTACTGAATGTATTGAATAAGTCTGTTTATCCTAGCTACTTTTTAATAATTAAAGAAAGGTCAGTGGCCCCCCTTACTGCTCAGAATCTTCCTCACAAATCATTCTTCATCTTTCCAAACTAAATAATGTTAACTTAAAAAAAATCTGTCCTCACAGAGAAATTACTCCACCTCCATGATCCTTCTTTCTAGCTATATAGTAGTAAGAACTATGTAACCTACTCAGACCACCTCAACAATACAAATCTTATAACTCTAACATTTCATAGATGGCTCTGTTGGTGATTTCATTTTGGTTAAAGCAGCACAGTGAGTAAGAGGTTTGAGAGAAACCAACACTTCCTTATAACTGAAGATGAAATTCCTTTTTCTGGGAAAAAAGAACCACAAGTTCTCCTTGCTGTCTGACTTGGCTGACTTGGTATTTTATTAGTAGGAAATACCTGAATCTCTAGGAAAATCTTAAATACTTCAGGATGAATTATTTTCCATGTAAATCAGAATGCTGTTAAAGAAGACAGCTGTCAACACTGACGTGTAGAGAAACCTACCCTTTAGTTTGCACTTTGATTCTTTTCCCTAAGTTTGATTCTTAAGTAACACCAGTCCCCACAACCCTATGCTTGTTATGCATTTTTTGTATGAAAACCAAAGGTTTGGGGCAAAGTAAATTGCATCTGTTAACTTTCCTTTATACACATACTTAGTGTATGGACTACTTAATACTCTGCCTTATTTCCCAATAAAGATATCCCAATGATTAATAAGAAACAATTCACATTTTTCTGGGAAAAAAAATCTACTCCATACAAGATACTCTACTTCAGTTGTTCGACATTCTTACTACTCTAATAAGTAGTAAGCTAGTCGTCACCAGTTTATCTTGCCAGGAATGAGAAGTATATAAACTCCTCTGAAATACGGTGGCTCAAAAGGCAACCCAATAATTCTCTGCAAAGTAATAACTTGAAGTAATTATGCAATCTAGACAAATGATCTTTAAATATAACCTTAATACTTTCAAAGACCTTTTGGGAATGCCAAATTTTGTAACAACATCTGATACATCAATGAAGTCTACAATATCTTCTGCCCTTAAAAGAGGTAGACTGTAGTTAGTAACACTGTACTGCATATTTGAAAGCTGCCAAGAGAGTAGATCTTAAAAGTTCTTATCACAAGAAAAAAACTCTGTAACTATGCCTAATGATGGATGTTAACTAGACTTATTGTGGTGATCATTTTGCAATGTATACAAATATCAAGTCATTATGTTGTATGCCTGAAACTAATAAAACGCTCTATGTCAATTATATACTAATTTTTAAAAGTAAAAAAAAAAAAGGTTAGAAAATTAAAGAATATACTGGATCCACTAACTTACCTATTGCACCAAGGAACAAATGGTATCAAATATTAAACATTCTGTAGCTTCTTTTACGCCTTTGACATTAAAAACCTTTTTATTTTTGTTAAGATTGTTTAAATCTCTAATTGGCTTATATCTTTTTATATTTTTGTTTTATTGAATTACAGTTGCTATACAACATTATATGTTACAGGTGTACAACATAGTGATTCATGATTTTAAAGGGTATATTCCATTTATAGTAATTATAAAATACTGGCCATATTCCCTGTAGCTTATTTTATACCTAACAGTTTGTGCCTCTTACTACCTTACCCCTGTAACTGCCCCTCCTCACACTGACAACCACTAGTTTGTTCTGTATATCTGTGAGTCTGCTTCTTTTTTGTTATATGCACTAATTTGTTGTATTTCCCACATTCCACATATAAGTGATATATAATTATTCATCTTTCTCTATTTCACTTAGCATAATGCCCTCTAAGTCCATTCTTATTGCTGCAAATGGCAAACTTCTATTCTTTTTTTACAGCTGAGTAGTATTGCGTTTTATATATACACATCTTCTTTAGCCATTAATCTGTTGATGGACAGGTAGGTTGTTTCCATACGTTGACAAGTAAAAAATGCTGCTATAAACATTGGGGTGCATGTATATTTTCAAATTAGTGTTTTTGCTTTTTTTGCAGATATATATACCCTGGTGTGGAATTTCTGGGTCATGTGGTAGTTCTATTTTTAGTTTTTTGAGAAACCTACATACTGTTTTCAACAGTGCTGTACCAATTTACATTCCCACCAACAGTGTACGAGGGTTCCCTTTTCTCTGTATCCTCACCAATATTTGTTATTTGTGTTCTTTTGGAGGACAGCCTAATGTATAGTTGAACTGATGCACTTAGAAGCCTTCCTTACTTAGCTAGGCAATCTTTCCATTTTTGAGTATCTCTATTCTTGTGACTTTTTTTCTGTAAGACACTCAAATATATATCATCCCTAAGGATCAAACGTAATTTTAAACTTCCCTAGATTTCCATAGTTTATTTCAAAAGCAACCACTACTTCAGAAGTCCCAGGTTTAGCTTACTAAAGATTCTTTTGATAGAAGCACTGTCTTTGGAATAATTTTCAGAATTTATTCAATTTCCTTAGTTAAATCATACACCAAAAAAAAATTCTTTCTTTCCTTGTTCCTTTGATCAAATCAGATAAAGATAATTTTCAGTAATTTAATTTTGAATAAAAACTTTAAGGGAAATTTATATATTCTACAATGTTCAAAGGACGTCTGTCCTATTTTATGTTGGACATTTGCCAAAAATATTTTTTATTTATTGTGCCTTTGTCAATGTTCATATTTTCTATACTCTTATCATGGTTAACATACATTATCCTTCAGATGAATCAATGTAAAACATATTCTAGAAAGGTAGATGCCATAATCTGTTTTGATTCATAATGTTCAACAAGGTCTCAAATCAACCCAATATTTTGATGAACCAATGGCCAGAATATCTATAAATCTTCACCTGAAAATGTTGAAATAACCTCAAATGTTGTTTCCAAAACAGAAGCAACAGATGTTACTTTATCTGCAGCTAGAATGTAGAAGTCTCCAGATTTGGAACATTTCACAACAGCATACCTAAAATAAAATTTTAGGAGTAAATTACTAAAAATGAAAAAAGAAATGCCACAGACAACATTTTAAATGTTTTACATCATTTTTGAAAAACTAACTTCAAGATCAAAACAGTACTATTTTCAAAAGGACTTCATCCCTTATACTCTGTTTTCTTTTCCAAAAAAGCTGGAGGTCTTAAATGGAATCCTCTAAAACTTAATAAAATCTCTATGAACATAAAAAGTAAGTTATAATTCACTACTTTCTAAGAGGATACTGAGGATAAAATAAATTCAAAATAATGCTAATGATGGAATCAATCCTATTTGTGGATAAACAAAAAATGCAGTAATATACCTACTTTGATTCTGGCATGTAACAAACAGCCTGATTGGCTGGAATAGTCCAAGGCTGGGTGGTCCAGACTAAAAAACTAACAGGAGATGAACCATCTGTGAAAATAAAATTTTAAATATTCTAACAAATCAAACGTCACAATTCCATAACTTTAATATATTCAAGCAAAGGATAAATCTTACCTACAAGAGATGCCAGCTTAGGAGAGGGTTTCAAGAGGGGGAATTTTACATATACTGAGCGACTGACATGCTCTGGATTGTATTCAAGTTCTGCTTCAGCCAACGCAGTCCTAAGGTTTAAAAATATTAAACATAAATATTTGGAAGCCTCACAAAATTCTATCCTTTACCAAAAACACATAAATACCTTGATGAGGGAGACCAAAACACAGGTTTATAAGATCGATAAATTAAGCCCTATAAAAGACAAAGATATTACATGAAAGCTGGAATTTTGTAACACATAACTTAACATACTCAAAGGGAAAAAAACCACCTTACTTTATCATACATTTGGTAGAAAAGTCTCAACTGTCTGGCCTCATATCTTCCATCAAATGTATAGTAGCAGTTATTCCAATCTGCCATTATTCCCCACCGAATAAATGCCGACTTCTGTTTCTCAACGGCTGCTTTAGCAAACGACCTCGCTAAAAAAATAAACAAAACACTTTTCAGAACCAATTAATTCAAACTCTTATTAATCTGTCTAAATGCAAGTACTGTACACAATTTAGACTACAAAATTTATTTAATAGAAAAATTATCCTGAAATTTGAAAGTGTTCAGATGATACTTACAACAAATTCAAAAATTAACTAAAATTTCAAAAGTTAAAGTTCGGTTACTGTCTCCTCTATTTTCCAGACTTTGTACAATGACTCTATGTTTAGAAAAAATAAACTGGAAAAGATATTCTTGGTATTTCTAAATTTAAAGAAGGGTCAGAGTTTAATTCTTACTTCATTGTATATAAACACAAAAAAATTAGTACAACCAGTCTAAGCTAATAATAATACGATGTTTCATAAGGAAGTGAAAAATCTTCACAATAATATCCAATTATACAATAGTTCAACATATAAAGATAGAAGAGTCCTCCCTGACCCATTCTATTGAAGGAAAGACTCAAATAAGAAATTTAAAAACATTTTTAATTTAAAATTTAATTTTGGTTAACCAACTAAAATAGGTCAACAAGCCCCAGCCAAGAAAATCAGTAAAAACATTGACCAAAATAATAATTTCACAAAATGTGAAGACTAAAGACCTGAAAAATGTACTTGGAAACACTCACAAACCTCTCCTTTGTTTCTGAACGTAAGTTCTCACAAAAGTCAATTCAACAAAATCTGGATTTTCTGTGACACAAAGTGGTCTCCAACAGATCTCATAGTAAGTGAAAAAAACAACAGCAAAAGCAAAAGACAACAGGTCTCTTCTGTAAAGCCCTGACTTTTTCAAGGAACCATTTTAAAGCAGAAACAGAGATTATTTACCTTTCTCTCTAATTTCCATAGCTGAAAGATTCTGAACTTTTCCATCACGTTCTGTTAACACTTTTATTTCAATGGGTAACCCATGACAATCCCAGCCTGGCACAAAATGTACTTTGGAACCTTTCATCATATGGTATCGATTGGCTATATCTTTCAAAATCTGAAAGATAAAATGATAATCATCGTTCATACACAAAACATTGTGGCTTACAATTTATATTCTCTCAGTATCATTTAAAACACTAAGCAAGCCCAATTTTAAAAGGATTTATACAGAATAACTGATTAAATCTAGTAACTCACGTTCTAGATAAACACAGGAGCAATAAATACTTGATCTTTAAAATGCCATTAACTGTTCCAAAAGGAAATCAAATGATAAAAGATTTCAAAATGAAAAACATTATGCCCAAATTTACTAATTTATTTGTAAAGGTGGACCTTGAAAAAAGCAGCCCATACTACCTTTTAAAGATCTGAACCTTCTAAAAATCAGAGTACAAATAAATTAATTACAAATCTGCCTTCTTCTTATGAAAAAGTTATTAATGTGAATAACCCAGTATTACTTACATTTAGCTAAGAAATACAGAATCAACGCAGAATTTATAATACACTCAGAGTACGGAATACCATGGTTAACTCTGTCATTCCTAAAACTGTAACTAAAACAGTAGTCAGTCCTCTTCATTTAGTATAGTTCTATAACTGTTTACCTTTCTTGTTCAGTTTAGATACTAGGGGGCAGCAGAGTCTTTTAAAAAATATATTACCATTAAAAAATAGGGGATAAAAGGCAAAGGACAGATTTGGCTCCAAGCTCAATTTCTTCTTCCCAAAAGTAAACAGTGCAGTGGTCCAGAAAAGTATCCCTTCCTTTCCAGGTCTATCAAAAGTAGAAAAGGTAATACACACTCCTCCCCTCTCTTCTTCCACTTAACTCTCTCATACTTCTCACCAGAAGGGCAGGAGGGCCTTGTGATCCGGGTGGCAGTTACACAACATAAACATTCATCTACACATATACTTAAGATCTGCATACTTTTTGTTAGGTTATCACTTAAATCAAGCAGTATAAATAACATCCTCCCCCCCATTTACCCCTATTTGTGCCTGTGTTAGTAAGGACTTCATCACAGACAACAAGACTGTTCTGCAGAGGGTCCCGGGAGCTCTCTCTGCTAAGGAAAGCAACAGTCAGCACAGATGCCATGGACAACCTGCATGTCTTCTCAAAGCCATGTTATAATAAAAAGTGTCAAAAATCAAAGACAAGGTGAGAATCTTAAAAGAAGCAAGAGAAAAAAAAGCCTGTCACTTAACGCCTACAATGGAACCTCTGTAAGGCTACAAGTAGATTTCTCAGCAGAAACCTTGCAGACCAGAAAAGAGTGGGATGATATAGTCAAAGTGCTGCAAATAAAAAACTACCAACCAACAATCCTTAACTGGAAAAGTTGTCCTTCGTAAGTGAAAGAAGATAAATATCTTTATAGACAAGCTAAAGCTGAGGGAGTTGAGCACCACTAGACCTACATGACAAGAAATCTTCTAAAAGAAGTTCCCCAAGCTGAAATGAAAGGATGATAACTAGTACCTGGAAAACACACAAAGTTTTAAAACATACTGGTAAATGTAAGTATACAGGCAAAATGCTCCTATACTGTAATACGATAATGTGTTAATAACATCTGTCTATTATAAAGGTTTAATGGCAGAAGTATTAAAGGTAACTATAAATAAAATAACTTGTTAATGGATATACAATATAAAAAGATATAAAACATAATTACAAAAACATAAATGTGTATGGGGAATAAAAGGGTAGAGTTTTTGTATGCAATCAAATATAAGCTGTTAGCTCACATAGACTGCTCTACCTATAAGGTGTTTCATGTTAAGCCTCATGGTAAACACAAAGCAAAAACCTACAGTAAATGCATGAAAGATAAAGAAAGGGGAATCAAAGCACACCCCTAAGGAAAAGTCATCAATTCACAAAGGAAGATATAAAGCACTGAAAAAAACGAATGAAAAATTGTGGTAAGTTCTCTCAATGGAACGCTACCACGCAATTAAAAAGGAATCAATTACTGACATCTACAACAGCATATATGAATAACATAAATACTACACAAGTGAAAGAAGCCAGTCACAGAAGAATATATATATGCTGATTCAACGTATCTGAAATTTTAGAATAGGCAAAAAAATTTAAGCAATAGAAACCACACAGTGTTGGGGGCAGGAGCTCCTCACTCTATGAGGCCAACATTACCCTGATACCAAAACCGCGCAAGGACACTACAAAAAAAGAAAATTACAGGCCAATATCACTGATGAACATAGATTCACAAGTCCTGTAATGAAAACAACTGTTTCCTGGAAGGCAGACCACTTTACTATTACCTCTGCACCACCATGAAGCAAATTGCAATCATTCTTACTCTTCAAGGTAGAAAGCAGAGAAGTCAAGTGAGTTCTCTCAGATAGAACCCACAGTTCTCACTCAACTCATTTACTATTTAAAATGAACCTAGCAGCCACTCCTCAAAAACAGTATTAATTCTTCTAATCCACGAGGACAGGCTATTAATCAGCTGACGTTTCTTTACTGATTCAAATTTCTCACCACTATTAGTTTAATTAAGGCATTTTATTTTAGTACAATCCTTGAGCACCCCCTCCTCCGCCAGAATCCCAAGAGGTTTTTCTGTTTGTTTGTTTTTGCCAAGAAAATCTAAAGTCCTTCTAATGGCCTATAAGACCCGGCCCTTGCTACCTCTCTGGCCCCACCAAACACAGGCCCCCTCATTTACTTCAAACCAGTCACACTGGCTCCCTTACTTTCCTCAATCACACCAGGAAAACACAACTCCAGGTCTTTGCACTCGGCTATACTGACCCCGAATATTCCAACAGCTTACTCCTTTGCTTCCTTGAGGACCTTACACAAATGTCACCTTTTCAGTGAGGGAGGGACCCCAGGCCAAATTAATAAAACTGCAGTTTGCCCAGCTGACCCTCCCTGTTACTCTTCCCTGTTTTTGTTTTCTTCCAAAGCACTTATCAGTACTGTCTTAGTCAGTTTGGGCTGAGACCAATTCCAAAGTGTATGTGTATATGTATGTGTGTCGGGAGGGGCGGGGTGCACACATAAAACCAATTGCATGCGTATACAAGCAATTCTTGGACACCAGCAGAGTGTCTGAGAGTTAGCATAAACAGGATGGCTTAAATAACAGAAATTTATTTCTCACAGTTCCAGCAGCTGTGGAGTCCAAGATCAAGGGGCTGGCAGAATCATTTTCTGGGAAGGACCACTTTCTGGTTCAAGACCACCATCTTCTCACTGCAACCTCACATGGCATAAGGGGACAAGGGAGCTCTCAGGGATCTCTTTAATAAGGGCACTAATCCCACTGATGAAGGCTCTGCCCACATGACCTAATCACCTCTCAAAGGCCCCACCTCCAAATACTGCCACATTAGGGATCAGGTTTCAACACTTGATATACGGGGAGATGGGAGTGGGGGAATGACACATGGACAAATATTGAGTCTCTATAGCAACTATCTAACACATCAAATATTTTACTTATTTATATTACTATGTCTTCCCTGTTAGAACACAAGCTCCATGAAGACAGGACTCATCTTGTTCAGTTGTATTCCCAGAGTTTAGACAATGCCTGGCACATAGTAAATGCTCAATAATTATCTACTGAATAAAATGACACTAATGCATAATAACAGTAAGTTCAAAGCAAATACCAGTTGTTATTTTTCACACAATACTGAAACTGTTAATTGCTGCCTTCTATTAAGACATTTTGGTTTCTATCCCAATGCAAATGTACGTAACTGTCATAAAATCACAATACAATCTTTTGCAAAGTGTATTCAAATAAAGATTTTCCCTCAAGTTTTATAACCTAAATTATAATTACCTTATTTAAAGCATGTCCAACATGAGGGTCACCATTTGCATAAGGAGGTCCATCATGAAGACAAAATTCTGTCTTTACTTTCCTTTCTCTTTGCCATGAATAAAGTTCTGAAAATCCACATTTCTGTTTAAAAAGAACAATGATGTCTGAACATCACATAAATACACACTCCTAAATTTTACCATAAGTAACAGCCAGCACTTGCTTATTTCCTATCCCATTTCAATGTATTCAACTCTAAAACACAAATGGCGAGGTTTCTAAAAGTGCACATCTGAGTACTCATCCCTTAAAACTTTTCTATAGTTTCCCCGTAGGCTTCAGTTTAAACTCTAACCTCTTTATAAAGGTATGCAGGACCTAACAAAGGTTTAACAGCACTAAATTCCTGGGCAGTCTCTCAGCACTCCCCACCCTCCACTCTTGGGTCCAGCCATGCTGAGGGACCTGCAGACCACCCTCCTCACCGAATTCTTGTTATCCTTTGGCTTCAACACTGCTACTCTTTCAGTTTGGAATGCCACCCACTGCAATCCCACTCCCCATCCTCTACCTGCTGTGTGTCCTTGACCTTTGTGGGCACGTCCTTTCGTTTGAAAAACCGTTTATAATATCCAACTTATGAAGCTGATGTAAAGATTATATGAGAAAATATGTGAAATTGTCCCTGTTCCAGAAATACAAAAGGCACTGGATAAAGCACTTTAAAAAACTAGATGGCCAAAACAGGTTTGTGAGTTTGAAACTCTGAAAGTTGTCGTAAGAATACTTAAGCTAAGCATATTTACTTAACCAATATATCCAGAATATTAGGGATTTTAAAGACTCTACAATTACACAAACTAACAAGTGAATCTCTGCCCTTAGAAAACTGAGTCTAATACGGGAGACGGACGCACAGTTTCGGAAGTAAGCACCGCTACTTAATCCTTCAAACAAGCCATAATTCCAACTAGGAACCTACTGATACCACAAAGGTGAGCTTCAACTTTCCCTCATGATCGAATTTTTATTTATATGCGTTTACTTTTTAACTTACTTTTAAAAAGTAATGCTAATTTACTTTTTAAAAGTCACTGGATGAGCGTCCAAATTCGACTTGTCTGTCTAAGCCGAAACTGGGACTTCTATTCCATCCGCACTCTCTGAGCTTCGCTAGTTTCCTCCTTAACATTCCGCTCTGGAACCTGCTACCTCCGAGGGACTTGCCTACAGGTAGGTTCCTTCACTTATCTTTTCAGCCAATACAACCTGTGGGAATCGGATGGTTTCCACTAACTTGTTCACGACACCCCGGGCCCAAAGGGGCTGGAGCCAGCGGACGGGTCCCGCCCCGCTCCGGGGGTGTGGGGTGGCCCGGGCGTAGCTCCGGGGAGGGCCCGAGGTCCCTCCGCCCCGGGCCGGGTCGAGCCTCCCTCCCGAGGCCCGGCTCCCGA